ACATGTAAAGTTTAATACAACCTACAAAATTACATGAAACCTGACATTAAAAATACATGGTTGTTAAAACCAGGAAGGAAGGAGGAGGAGAAGAGAACTCTAAAATTGAGAGAATTATACTCTAAAATGTCCTTCCCACATAAACAGTATTTTACATCCTTTTCCACTTCTTTCAGCTGTAGGCATTAAGTATTTATTATTTCAATTCTGCAAAAAGGCATTTGCTGTAGAGAAGCCATAAAGAAATCAGAGGCTGATGCAAATTGCAAGGACCCATTTAGAACGTAATACAACTACTTTGCTTTCAAACTGCATTGATTCAATACAAAGGGCATGAAAATCATTTCCAGTGTAACTCAAAATTATGTCCCGAATACCAATATACATTATTTATGAGTGTACTTACAAAGCAATAATAGTAGTAAACGGTCTGACAACAGTGTACTGCAAAACACCCAGTTTACACCTAAATAACAGAACTCTGCAAAACAAACACAAAATTAATTGTACAAGAATTTAAAGACACTTTACTCATGGAAAATTCCTTTTCTCAGTTGCTTCACTAAACTGCATTTTTATTTCATGGTGACTTCAACTTAGCTTATTTCCAGAACTTCAAATGTAAAAGTATTTTGTGCATATGTGCAATCAAATAGACCTAGACTTTACAGATGCATAATATTAAATACCTGGTAATTCACTTCCAGCCACAAAAAGATTCTGGCTGGGCTAAACAAAGAGAATTAAATTGTCCCTGCATTTGAGTATGTTTAAGAGTTGCGTTCATAGTTTGTGTTAACATTTTAAACAGCTTTATTGAAATCTCTTGAGAGGAGGAAAATTGACTCTGCTCATCTGAGTAAGTATACAGAAATGAGCAGCTCGTGGGCATATGGCCTTTCTTTTCTCAGCTATGGAAACACAAACAATATGCTATGTGGTGTCACTGAATCAAAATGAGGTTTTTGGCAAACAGTCTATGAAAGCAAAGGAAGGAAATTCAGAGAGACTTTTTTTCAACATTTTTCAAAAATAAGTAAGTGTTCCACAGCAGCACTGGAGTCAACACATTACTAAGTAAGTGCGATTTCTAGCATGTTTTACTGCTAGATGGAAACATGATCATCCCAGGTGTTTTCAGTCAGAGTTCATCACGGATGAACAAGGTGTGCAAACCATAAACAGACCATTGCCAAGCAACAACAGTATACTACTAAATGCAAAAAGATCTGTATCTGACTATACAGTTTAAAATCTAGTATGTCATCAAATACTCACTCTCCCATAGCCCAAGATGGACAACAGCACAGGGGAGGCAGGTGTCTCTGCTGATCTTTCGCTTCTATTATTAATACGAGGTTTGGATATCGGTTGGTTAGGTAATTTGAAAGAAAAACCATAAAATTATAGATGACATAAGCTTCATAGCATTCTCGACATGTATCCACATATATTGCAATGTTGGGGTATTTCAAAGCTATCCACTGCAAGAAGAGAGGTACACAGAAGTTACACACTAGAAAGGCAGAAGTGATTCCAATGACAACGCTGGCAGGCTAGTTCAATAAGCAATACTATATTAGACAGGAAACACTAATTAAACAGAACTTGTAATTTGTCTGGTAAGAGTGTGATACTGCTGACAGAAAATGGCATTTTCTAAAAATACAAGTGGAACTTTAGATGGCATCTCTGCTTCTTCAAATGAAAGCAAGCTTATAGCACTGCGCAAGGGAAGCTCTGCATCTCTCAACACAATTCAATCTTTTAAATTAAAGGTAACTATGGAGATGGTTCCCTATAACTGACCTGCTCCTATTAAAAAGAGACGAGATAGAACAGCTTCCTCAAATTCACATGTTCACAGTCAACGTTTGTGGGGTTGGAACTAGATATCATAAAGGTCCCTTGCAACCCAAGGCATTCTATGGATATGGATTTCAAAACTAACTTTTTAGTCCTTTGGTATAAAGTTCATTTCACATCTAATGCATAATATTCTAGTGTGTTTGTAGCTGTAGCAGAAATGCTTAGCCATGGTATGAAGCAGTGATTGAGCACCTGGTGGGAAGGCAGGGCCAACCCAGCGGAGCTCAGGTGCATGTAATGTTCCTGAGTGAGCAGAAGGGGTGGAACCAGGATCCACCCCTTCCCAGAATTCATTTAAGGGCTGGCAGGGGAGGCAAGGGCATTTTTTGCTGCTCATCCCTGTGTACCTGAGGCCTTCTGAAGGTAAGCAGCTTCTTTCCTTTATTTGCTTGCCTATGGCATTTGAGCAAACTCTTACTCTCTGCAACCTAGAACCTTGCTGCTCTGCTGTCGTTGCTGTAGTTCCCATTGCATTACAGCAGAATACATAATAGCAGCTGATTAGCCTTCAAGTGGTAGCTGGTCATCACTCCAAGCTAGCATTTTTAACAGAAAACTGTTGAGTTTTGGGGTTTTTTGTTTGGTTTTTTTTTTTTTTTTTTTGCAAGACTGTGACTATAGATGAGCTGTTAGAGCTTTGAGGTTTTTTGTGGGTTTTTTTGGAGCATCACTGTTGCACTATTCAGTGCATCTTGTGTGCTAGTTGCTTTTCTTTTGGTTCCTTTTTTGTTGACGTTTCACTTCCCAAACAGAAGCAAGTATTTTGAGTTTACTATGCTTCCAGAAGCGCAGCAGAGTGAATATTGTGCCTTTACAGATCTTCTTATTAGAACTTAAGAAGATGTTTAACATCCTCATTATGAACTACTAGAAATAACAGCTCCTGCTACATCCTGTGGACAATATGCACCTAGTTGAATTTGGTAACTGAGCTTCATGTTCAGATCTAGAACATCATACATGCAGCAAAGGCTGTAAGATCCAAGAGCTTGGGGAAAGATTTTAATACCTGTCAGAAGCACTCTTGAATGACCGGATAGAGCTCATCTAATTAGCATGCATTTTTCTTCCAAATGAAAATAACTGAAATATCAATCTAAGGTAGTTGATATCCCCCACAGGAAACAGATAATGCTGCTTCCTTTTAAAAAAAAACAGTACATGAAGGTGACACTTTATGAAATCTGAAGACATGAGAGGGGGGGAAAATACTCAGAGGAAAGGTTCCTGGAAACCTGTCTTCTAGGGGATCAACTTTTAAGTAGCAGCAATGTCAAGAGGAGACAATAATATGCAAACACACGCCCTGTACATACAATCCATGGAATTACTATGCTGCTTAGCTCTATCTCAAATCATCTATGCAATCAGCAACAGATGACACATAAACAACAACTGGCAAGGCCAATAGTACCAGTCATAGAAAAAATATTCAGAGGTGGTTTGTTGTGAAGCTGCCTTCTTTGTCCCCAGAGGGAAGATTAGCACTAAACATTTCTTGGTAAAGAATTTTAGTGCTAAGCCTAATGCAGGAAAGAAAGATAAGGCTCTGAATTTTGAGACTGTGTTTGTATCAGGCTGGTCAACAGGTTTCCATTTCAGCTGTTACTGAAGATGGAAGAACCAGAAGTAAGCATTTAACCCCATTTCCAAAGCAGTGAAAAAATGTTCAAGGTCTGAGATAGTTAGGAAGAGGTTGCAAAAGTGATCTTACAGGATTCCCAACTAGCGTGTAATACTGTTAGAACTACACTTCTGATGTACTCCATGAAAACAGATAAACAGAAGCTTCTAGGACTACAACTTTGTGTGCAGCACCGTTTCTGCTGTGACACCATTTTCTCTCGCTCCCCTAGCAAACAGTTTTATTGAGCTGTTAACAGTAAGAGAACACTTACACTGTCTAAACTGTAAATCGGCACCATCCACAGAATCCTGTTACAATAACAAAAGAACACTTAATGTTACTAGAGATATCTTTCATCTGAATTAAATTCAATATTTGCAGCAGAGGTAAAAGGTGAGATGTTACCTTATTATTGGTTTCTGCAATTCAGGTTGAGTATAATGGACTAAGTGTTGTAGTATTCCCCAGAGGGAGATGGGTATGGTCATCAGTAGAAATATCCCTGCAATAAACCATGCCTTGGTATGGATTCCAACCTGGCAAAAAGAAAGAAGAGTGCAAGATCAACATTCTGGTATTAATCTTTTAAAATAAGACAGGTAGAACAAGAGTGTTTGGTTTTTGTTTTTTTTTTTTTGCCTGTGAATGAAGTTCTAAGAAGGATGTTCCGCGTGTATTCTAACACTGAGTTGAGTTTTGAGTTTTCTGCTTTTGAAATGCATGAAATCACCAACTCTCCCACGCTATCTGTGGATCCGGCTCGCAGCGCATCCCGTGCTGCAGCGCATCCCGTGCTCGTTCCACCGGCTCGGCATCCACTCTGTAGCTACTGAAAGAAGGGGAAGGAGGGAACGCCGCCCGCTGTCCCGTTCCGCCCCGCTCCCGCTCTGGCGGGCAATGCACACATACACACGGGCCGGCCCGGGGCACAGCCGAACCCCCGTGTCGCTGTGAGGCCGCAGTGTGTTGGTTCTGCCGCGGAGGCCGCTTCACCTCCCCCCCGAGCGTCTCACCTCCAGCTTCTGCAGCTCCCACACGCAGAGAGGCACGACCACCAGCAGCCCCACGATGTACAGCAGCACCACCAGCGGCCGGATCCACCGCCTCCAATTGCCGCAGGTGCACGGCATGGTCGCTTCGCTCCGCTCGGGCCCCGCGGCGCCTCAGCGGCTCGGCGCCGGGCCCGGCAGCCCCCGCGGGGCGCGCATCACCCGCGCAGCCTGCCAGGCCTCACCCGCCGCCCCGCCCCGCGGCAGGCGACTCCGCGCCGCCCCCGCAAAGCGACGCGGTACGGACCCGGCTCACCGCCACCCCGCCCCCGCGGCACTTCCGTCTCGCGTCGCTTCCGGCTCCCTCGCTTCCGCCGATTGGCTGCTCGCTCTGCCCGTCGCGCCCCCACCGCACGTGGGCCGACGGCCGGCTCTTCTCCTCGAGACGCGGCGCGCGCGGCGACCGTTACTCCAACGCGGTGACGGCTGCGCGCGTGCCCGCGGCGCGGGCGGGTCGCTGCTGCTGGTGCCTGAGGGGCGGGATGCTCCGTTGTTGTTTTTTTGTTTTTCTCTTCGAAGATGTCTAGGATAATGCAAAATCTGTATTACGTTTCGACAGTCGGTGGAACGCGTGTTTCAGCCTGAGTGAAAGCGCTGAGATGCGGCTCCGAGGCTGTGCGTGGTGAAGCTCGGGAGCTGAGGCGTCGGGCTGTGTTGGCACGGTTGGAGGTACCGACACGTTTGTGTTTGTTTGAGAAGCGTGTGCTGCAACTGCCACTGATAAGTTTTTCTACTTGTCAGTGAATTAGCTACAAATGTCATGTTTAAGGATAAAAAACGTGGCAGGGGAACTGAAAGGTCATCCGTGTGTTACAGACAAAATAAAAATTCAGTGGAATTTGCTTGAGGTTATGGCAGACTCGTGAACGGAAGCTTGTTCACTGATAGTGGTGCTAACAGTACTTCCCATACTGCTTTGAGGTGAAATACTACTACATTTCTGTGTTGTATTGCCACATGGGTGTTAAGGTGCCTGTTCTGCTCACCTTTGGTGCCTCACAAACTCGGCAGGATGGTACGAGATGTCAATGAGAAGCTAACCTGTTCGGTCATGCAGCGCCTGATGCACAGGCTCAGATGTGAACGATCCAAATTGTTTATTACAAGTTCTCACATCACTTATATACCTTCGCAAGTTTTCTTTTTCTAGCCTTCCCATCTACCCCTGCAACTTTCCCATCCACCTTCACGTGTCAACAGAGCATTCTCTTCAACCGTTTGTGCAGGCACTTACCCAGTCAGAGCTGTGAGATGTTTGTTCTTCTTCTAGAGGTGTCGTTGGTTCTCATGCTGTTTATCTTGCTCCTCAGCTGCTGCTCTGAACAGTTTTTCTTGTATTCCCACAAGTCAAACAGAATAAGTGTCTAAATAGAAACGTTTTTCTTAAACACGTTGCAAATATAAAACCAAACATTTCTAACGTTTTCAGAAAAGCAGACAATGCAACTACTGAAGTACTAGAAATAAATATGATTACTTATCTATAATTAATATATTCAAAATGGCAAAAAACAATTTACATTATTAATGAATATACACATTGTTTACAAAGAACTTAGATTTTTT